GGCAAACTTCCACAGATGTAACTTTACATAATGGCAACTTAAACAGGATTTCAGCTGTTGAATGCCAGGCGTTCCAATCACATGGGAGAAGCCAGAATGTACGGAGTCTTACTCCTACATGCATCACCGGTTCAGAGCCAGAGGGATGCTGTATCAAAGTTCTGTTGTGGCTTGTCCCACACATTTGTCACTGGTAACTTCCAACATTAATGCAGTCATTAAAATTGCACAAGTTCTATATCACTTCAAGAGGGGTTTTACATGTCATTCAAAGCAATGGACTGGATTCAGAGTATCAACGTGAATACAATGAATTGTCTAGAATGCAAGATTGGTAGAAGGATAGGCATATAGTTTATTAAGAGCTGAGCCAATTTTTTTAAACAGCAGAAACAACTGCTGTAATTCCTCCTGCTCTTCTTTTATAGCTGACACTTTTTTAAAATGCACAATTATGTAACTGTAAAACAGGGATAGCTGGCTGGATAGCTCTGTGAGTTAGGTGGAGCCAAATGTTGGGAGTTTAATTCCACACTGTGCCTCTGTAGATAATAGCCAGCCTATGTATCCTGAGGCAAGCTGCAAATTCCCAGGGCACTGCTGGAAAAACAGCAATCTTGCATGCACCAACACTGGGCATCAGTGGGAAATCGTTTTTGCAGTCTAATGTGATTGTCCCTTGCTACTAACTTGACTGGTAGAATTTTTTTCCTCACCTCTGGCATTTGAGGCTCACTCCCTTAGTCTTCCTGTTTGTTAGCTTGCTTCCCTTGTCGATTACTGTTTTTTGACCTCCGAACAAGCATGGGAGGCTCTTCCACATGGTGAAGACCCCATATTCCCCCCTTTTTTTATTCTGCTGACTTTAACTACAGATGATAACTGCTTCTAGTACTTTTATCATGCAGCATGCAAGTTTATGTGGAAAAGAATCTAAAGGGGCAGGCAGGGCTGAGACAGAGCTGATGTCTCCATGTTTTCTCTGAGTTGTTGTCTTTCTATCTCATACTCTGCTACACAAAATTCTCTAATAATCCTCCCCATCAGAAAGAGAGAGTGGTAAAACACTTCTGAGTACTCAATACTTAGAAAACCCTGGAAAGGGTCACCATAAGTCAGAATTGACATGATAGTATATAATTTTTATTATTATTTGAAGAGAGTTAATAGAATTATATCAACAGAAATAGGTTTTCAAAGTATTTAGAAAGAGATCTATTTTAAAAAACAATAATAATCAACTACCTCTTATGAAAAGAGCAAATGGAACTTCTAAGAAAGTTGATAACAATAAAATGAAAGCTGTAATCTTAGCTCATCAAAGGCTATAACTGGAAGGACAGACGAGAGGGTGGCTGTCAAGTGAACACCTCTAGAGATGGCAGCCTATAAACAGGGCACTGCTGAGACAGAAGGACCAGTTCATGACTCCTTCTTGCCTGAGCTTTACTTACAAAAGAGGGGCAATGAGAGCAGAGCTCACAATGAAGATCTTAACAAACCCAGCACCTTGATAATGTACCCTTCTGTTGCTATCTGCATTTGCTATCACTTGTAGGGTTGCCAGGTCTCAAGGCCCTCGTTGACGTCTCTGGGAGTTGCTCTGATCCCTTGGCTTTTGGGAAGGGATACACAAATCGCAGAACGAGCAAAGCTGGAAGAGAAGAAAGTTTGATTTGTGTGTATGGGGTATCATTCAAGCCTAGATACCCTTCTGTCTCCGTTCTGTGCTGGTGCCAGGGCTCACTGACTCTGCGCAGAAGTATTTGTACGTGTGCTGTGCTTGTTTCTGTCCCAATCCTTGCCTGGCCATCACAAGGGCCTCTCCCTTCCTCCCACCTGTCTCAGATTTTGGAAATCTCATGGAAAGGGATGCTGCTGACCGGGCAACTCTAGGTATGTTAGCAAAAGCATTTTTGCATATACAGCCCTAAAGGTACAGGCCTGTAGCAGTCAAGAAAGAACAGCCGCGTTGAGTCGTATTTTTTCAGTCTGAAATCTAGGTTCCACATTAATGTCTGAGTGATAACGTTCATTTGATTTTACTTTTTGGGGAAAAGGGAGTGAGCCATTTGCAGCCTACGAGGACCTGGTTTTTTGTACTGGTATCTTAGATCCAAACCAATAGTGTGGCTTTGTGTATAATTAATTGCAAACTCTCAACTAGCTCAGTTTATCAGCTTCTTTGAATTGCTGAAAACGGTGATGGGTATGAATAAGCATGCATGGTGATTACATGTAGCTTTGTAGGACTATGGGGAAGGGAACATATGTATATAAGGCGGTGCTGGTTTTTTAAAAAAAAAAACTTTAGAACTGTTCATGAAATGGAGGGCAGAGGCGGGGATCGGCATTTCAATATTCCCCTTATTAAAATAATTATTGGTTTGTTCTTGAAGGAGATGGATGGCACCGGGAAAAATATTGTTTTGCATTCTTTATTTTTTTACTGAATCCTCTGCTGAATGGTATTTCTCAGGAAAATGTATTTATTCAGAAGTTCATTTTGATTTAATAGAAAAATGGCTCCTGCCATGGCAGTGTGGAATGCACATTTTTCTCCCTGCGCTGAGTTTCACCCTGAAAGCGCCGGAAGCTCCCAACTCTTCGGTCGGCATTCTCTCCTTATCAGCCAAACTTGCTCAAGATTAATTCTCCCAGCGTGCCTTCCTTTTAAAGTGGCTGTTTTTCAGTGCCAGTTAAAGACAGCATTTTGATAAATTCCCAATGGTAGGGTGCACAAGCTGAATGAAGGCACTATCATCAGGCTATCCTATGTCGGGAAAATAACACGTGCCTCATGAAGAACCGCTTTGTCTGCCTGAATGAACACACACACACACATGCAAAGACACACATACACAGCCTCTCTTACAACATTAGTGAATGAACACACACACACACACACATGCAAACACACACATACACAGCCTCTCTTACAACATTATTTGTCAAATGAGGTAGATAGTTCTATTTATCTCATAGGGGATCAGGCCATGCAGGGGGCAAAAGGCCACCTTCTGTATTGAAGAGGAGATTGTGGGTGGGTTGCATAAACAGATTTTTTTGTAAACAAGGAAGATGTACTTATAATGGGCCATGATCCAAGGATTGTTCCAACAAGCTCCTGCTTTAAAACCACACAGGAACTGCACCTATGTGCTTTTGTACACAGATGAGACCCCTATCTTACAGGTCCGAGTCAGTTTGAAGGACGTTGAATGACCTTTGCCTTCAAGCAGGGACCACTTCAGAGTCCAACTGTGTGATGGAATTTGTCTTTCGGGATTTGCCATGATTGAAATGCCAAACGTGATGTAATGGCTTCAGTCTTGTTTAACTTTGTAATATGGAAGATGATATTTCTACTACTTACGTGCACCTTCTCAAAATATTTCTCTTACTGTGTTCTTTCAGCAACTGCCATGTGCTTTAGGCCACTAGTTCTTAACCTTTGTTACTCAGATGTTTTTGGACTGCAACTCCCAGAAGCCTTCAACATCAGCTCTGCTGGCTGGGGTTTCTGGGAGTTGCAGTTCAAAAACACCTGAGTAGCAAGGGTTAAGAACCACTGCTTTCGGCAACTGATTTTTTTTAAAAAAAAATATCGGTTAATTCAGCTGCTTATCTATTATGTTAAAAGGTGTGTATTGGGGTGGAGGTGGGTGGGACTGATTTGGTTGCTTTGTGGGAGGCCTAGCAGGTAGAGTTTGTGACTGTGTTGGTGGACCACTGAACTATGTGGGTGCTGGTTGTTCTTAGTTGGACACAGCTTGGGACATTTAATTCATGCTGTTGTGTTGTTGTTGGCTGCTTGCCTGCCCCGCCCCAAAGTGCCCACGGGCCCTCTGCTGTCAAGAGCACCTGTGCGGCCCCCACCCCGTTCTGTTTAATTTTGCAGGTACCAGTGGGGGCTTTTCTCCTTTGGCAAGGAGAGTTCTGTGAGGGTTTTTTTAAAAAAATTATGTCTTGCACTCCTCCCCACCCTGCTAGGCGGTTGCCAGTGCTCCCTCCCTTCTCCACTTCGTCCTGGTGGTGGTGGTAGTGAAGGAGCCGGAGGGGTTTGTGGCTGGCGACGAGGGCTCGTGCGCCCCTCCTCCTCCTCAGAGCCCCAGCCGGGCTAAGGAAACTCCTGGGTGGCTTACTCAGGCTCTTGCTCCACTTGGAAAAATCTGATGCGGCCCAGCCTCACCCAGATTCTGCCTCCAGCGGCCCCCAGTTATATTGCGTTTGAGACCCCTGCTTTAGAGTAATCGGAATGATAGAACTGTAGAGCTGGAAGGGACCTCAAAGGTCCTCAGGTCTAACTCCCTACCAAAGCAGCACATCGTCAGTTAAAGCATCCCTGACGGGGACACCTAACCTCTGTTTCAACACCTCCCATGAAGGAGAGTCCACTGCCTTCCAAAGGCAGCCCATCCCACTGCCAAACAGCTCCTCCTGTCAAGACATTCTTCCAAATCTTCAAGTGAAATCTCTTTTCTTGTAATTTGAATCAATTACCTGAGAAACTACCCTCTGGAGCTGCAGAAAACAAGCTAGCTTTCACTTGACAGCTCTTCAAATATTTGAAGACGAGTATCTTTTCTTCTTGAGGTTAAGCATACCAAAACTCCCTCAGCCATTCTTCACAGAGCTTGATTTTTATAGACTTTTTTACTATCCTGGTTACTCTCCAGCTAGTTGATATTCTTCTTAAACTGTAGTGCCAAACTGGACACAGAATTCCAGATGCAATCTTACCAAAGCAGAATAGAGCGGCGTTATTATTATTACTAATTAGGCACTACAACTGAGACACCAATACCTATCTGTGAAATGGGAATAGCAGAGGCCTCTTTGTGACAGAGTTTTCCCCCAAAATAATAATGCAGTCTTTATAGATTCATCCTTTTTATTGTGAAGGGAGAGTCATCCATTTAAACAAGAATTCTGACTACTATCAGGTTGGTGGATAATGCATTGTTTGACAGCCGCTGTTCTTTGATGTTTGCCTGCAGGTTGGAATAATAGAAGATTTTTTATACCAATTAGAAGATAGTTTCTTAAAGACCAAGAAACTCAGAACAGCGAGGCGGCAAAAAATGAAAATGAAGCGGCTCCAAAGTGAACATCCATGTTAGGCCAACTGGGGGGAAAGGCCCCCATCCTGCACCAGAGATGGCAAGAGGGTCATTAATATTGCAGGAATTTGACAGCTGGGACAACAAAGGCTGGCCTTCGAATTAATGAGGTATCCCTTCCATATGGCTCCTCTTTAGTAATAAGCTTCTGCACTTCATTAGCCTCATCTGACAGGAATAAATGCTCAGAAGATGCTTGACTAGATTCTTATGCAGAGTGGTCTTATTTATTCAAACCTGGTAGAGAATTCGGTAATCACTGACATCCTTTTTAAAAACCCAATCCAACTCACACAGGCTTCTCAGCCGAATTAGTGGGTCTTTTTCAGGAGATCCAGCTATGAAGTGCACCATCATATTTTTTTTAAAAAAATCCAGAATTATGCAAAACAGGCTAACCTTTCTACTGAAATTTCCCATGCTTAGAAAAATTATTTTACAAGAAGATAACTTCCAGAATTCAGTAGCCCACCTAAGAGGAATCTAGTAATCTTAAAAAAAAAAATTCAGTTTTCATTTCATGGACATACACATCACACATCAGAACAGAGAATGGCTGTTTGCTTTCCATCATGGCATCCCAACATGTGGGCAATGACTGTTCAGCCCATGTCCTGCTGAGCAGCCCAGCAAACATTTGTTGACCTACCAAAAAACACCCGCAGGCAGAAATCAGAATGGACGTTTTGCTGAACTCTTGTTGATCTTGGCAGCTACATTTGGCTGAGTGGGTAAGGTTCAGTGCAGCCCCAATGGAGATCCAATGATGATACAGGATGCCAAGAGGTACCCAGCGGAGCAAATAATCAGATGTATATAAAACCCACTGGAACCTATTCAGAGCTTCCCCACCAACAAACCCCAAACACGGGCAGAAAGGTACCAACACTATACTGGAACTAGCATAGTACATTTCCTCTAATTGTCGTCAGTGGTGGTGGTGGTGAGGGCAGGAAGCTGATTCTTCGCTTCCTAGGGCTGTCATGCCAGCAGTTGCCCAGCACTTGCAGTTTCAAAGCCAAAACCTGAGACAGGGAACAGGCTTCACCACAGAAGCTTCTGCCCTTTATGTCCATAAACCACCTTTCCTCTCAAAGGAAGACGTGCATTGATAGACAAGGAAAACCGATTCCACACCTGATCAAGGTGTGCAAGCTGTCTTCTGAACGTGGAAGCAGCTGGTTACAAGAGGCATTGTAAAACCCTTTTTAGGTTTAAAAGGCTGCAACTAAATAACATTCATTCATTCATTCATTCATTCATTCATTCATTCATTCATTCATTCATTCATTCATTCATTCATTCATCCAAAAGCAACACAATGGGTGAAATTCAGTTGTGCAGGTCCACATGAGCCAGCAGCAAATCATTGCTGATTAAAGGCAGCTTCAGACTGCCCCCAACTTGTATACAATGCAACACAGCTGCACGTACCCAAATATCACCAATAAAGCTTTGAATCAGTGGCAATTTGCTGCTGCTGCCGCCACCATCACTGTTGCGTACATGAAGCTATACAACAGGATTTCAGTTAAATAGTTGTAAAATTGCTTTTAGAGTAATGAGTAATGTCTAATGCCACCACCATCATTGTTGTGTACATGGAGCTATACAACAGGATTTCAGCTAAATAGTTGTAAAGTTGCTTTTAGAGTAATGAGTAATGTCTAATTATTTTTGAACATCACATTTCACAAACATAGCAAGGCCTTTTAGAGATATTTTGAAAGGAAAATTTCAAGCTTTAGGCCATTTTCTTATCAATCCTAAGAGATAAACAAATATAATTCTCTTTACTCTTTTGGACCAGAATCCTGTCGAGGATTTATGCCAACATAAATTAACTATATCAATGACAAACATAAATTGCTACTAATTAAGAATTTGCTGCTCAAGTTCCTTATTGTGTGCCTGTCATGTAACTTGGTACGCAATGAGGAATGCATGTAATGTGACTAATTAGCAGCAATATGCCACCATGATTTACAAAATCATACTTGAATTAGCGTAAATCCCTAACAGGATTTTAGCCTTTGATTTACATTTGCAATGTGCCGTATCAAGGCAGGCCACTACAGGGAACCAGAGAATATATTCCTGCATTTTTCCATAGTGTCTTAGTAAGGTCAACTCATTAATAACATGCGCCACAACCAATTACTTGTAAAAGCACAGCAATTAACAATATCGACAACCAGACTGCCCCCTTTCAAATAATGAGTGACACAATGTATTTTTTTAACACTAAAATTTCAATCTATGGCCGCCTCCTACTCAGACATTCACCTTGCCAGTCCTGCTGAGCTTCAGATCATTTTCATCTGTATATTCAATGGTTTATCATTGAGTTCAGCCAGTTCAAGCTTTGGGAACACAGCTTGATTCCCCCTTTCTGATGCCTATGGCTTTTCTGCCATGCACTGCTAGAATATATTTCTCCTGAAGCCCAGCAAGATTTTCACAAGCTCTTAAATCAAAATCCATGCAAAGCAGATGAGCCCACCAGCATGATAACATCTTGATTTATGCAACTGTGACTCAAAGAAATTGTATAATGGAATCAAAAATTGATCAAATGTTTTCTGCATAATCTAGGCTATTTTGAGCTTGCACATTCTTCTGAGAGTATGCGGCAAAGTATATGGTACTATGGAGGCAAAGGTAATTGAGCCAAGATTTTTTGGGGAAATGGAATTTTATGACAAGCATCCCATTTTGATGAATGCAGGTAAGGTTAAATTGGAAGAATAACTTGCCAGGTCTCTGCCTCCTAAACATTTCCTCGTTATTCAAACCATTGGGTTGTAAGTAAAGCGTATAACGCGCTCAAGTGGCTCATGACACCTCCCACATCATTGAGTTTAAAGTCAATCTTTTCTTCCTTAGTTTCTTTTAGACGTACAGTAGGACCCCCTCCCCAAATCCACAGGATTGGGATTGGCTGATTCGCTTATCCACTGCCTGAAAATACCAAATAAAACCCCCAGAAATATGTATTTTTATATGTATTTCCAGAGTGTACTTACCGGAACTAGTCACTAGAGACAGCCGGAAACTAGACAATTTATAGTGTTTGATACCTCCATGGTTTTTTGGCATCTGTGGAGCAGGGCTTGGAAACAACCACCCATGGATATCACAATCCTACTATATACTGTTGTAAGAAACTAACTGCATGTTCTGACAATCTATTGTGTCAGTTTTTATGACAAACAAGTTAAATACAAAGCAGAACAACAGGTCCCAAGAGTCATGTAGCCTAGGTCGTCTCAGCAAATAATGCTGCAAGAGTTGGTCGGTTTTTTAAATCAGCATACCAAAGAGAATCACACAAATGTCTTGAAATAAAACAGGCATGGGGCAAACTATGTTCCTCCAGATGTTGCTGGATGCAGTTCCTCACATTCTGCAGTATTGGCTACACTTGATAAGCTTGTTGGAAGTTGTAGTCCAACAACATCTGAATGGCTGCACTTTGCCCACCCCCGATCAAAAGAGAGAAGAAGGGAAAGGGTGGAGAGTAAAGACCTATGCGGCTACTTATGCATCACTAAAAGATAGAACTCCTGGATAGCTCAGTGGTTTAGACATCTGGGTATAGAGCCAGACATTGAGAGTTCAATTCCTAACTGTGCTTCCTTGACAGGGGTTGGATTTGAGGATTCCAGTTCTGCAGTTCTAAGATTGTTGTTGCTAAATGCATCAGCAACAACAAAAAAAATGAGAACACACATTTGTTGAAAAATTGCCATCCTGGAGTAAATTTTCGAATAACAACTATAATTTAAATAGCAACATATTTCACCACGAAGATTGCAACTGTGGCCTGCTCTGCCTGTTTGTGCAGCACCAACCGACACCAGCAAAACAGAGGTCTACTGATGTACTGGTTGGTTGCCATACAGGTGGCACCATAGGCATTGAGCACGTACATTGTGTGGGCCTGCTTCTGAGCCTGTGACAGAATGGTCCGAAGCAAAGACAATTCTACCAGATACTTTGTAGAGACCAAAAATTAGAAGGCAGCTTTCTGAAGGCAGCAAGGTCCTCCAGAAAAACAGAATTCTCTTGTTTTGCTGATAAAAGTATGTTAAATGTCAGAAGGAAAATGGGTAGAGTGGGGGAGCCAGTCCTTTACACGAGAAGCTAAGCCTACAAAATGCTGGTGAAGAAAACAAGCGTGTGACAAGACTAAAATTATAGAAAGGCAAGGGTGGGGGAGGTGCGAACCTACGGAGAAGTCAAATGATTTGCCTAGTGGAGGCAGCATGAGGCAGAGAAGAAACAGGAACCCCAGAGGAAAAAAATAGGGCCGGGCCATAATTATAATCAAAAGAAGAATTCAGAAAAATACATAAGCCCACACATGCTGTTATTAAGAATAGCATCTGGCAATCCTCTCAGAGGCACAAGCCTTCCACATCCTTTTAATCTGAAAGTCGGGGAAGGTGGGTTCCTTTCTTCCACATTCCCATTTTTAAACAACAGCCACTGTCACAAAGACCAGATTTAACTGTGAGCCCTTTTCTTCTTACAATCCATCATCGGGCAACACCAAAACTGGGACGCCTTTCTGCCGTCTGTGAGAGATAATAATAGAATGTATTACCCTGACCTTTTCAGTTTCGCCTGGCAAGGCTATTGGGAAGCCTTTTCTCTCCTCCCTTCTTAACCACCTCATTAACCTGGGAGGGAAAGGGGAGGACTGGACAGACAATTAGCCTGCAGCATATTAAAAAGGTTAACACTGAACGACACACTCTCCAGCCCGTCTCAGTCACGATGGGTGTTAGAGAAAACTGGTATCATGTTCTGCCTTTATAAACGACAAATGCCTCTTACATGTTTCCTTGGGTGGCCATGCATCCTTCTTTGTAGAGGACTGTGCTCGTTGTTGTTGCTTTTTTTAAAGTTTGCAGAAGATAGTCATCTGCTTTGAGGCAGTGTCTTTTATTTGAAGGATTATCAAGTCCAGGCTTAAACTTAAAAGATAAAAAGGAAGAGCAGGGACCTCCAAGCTACCCATCAATAGCTGAACAGAATATCGAGCAAGCAGTACTGGTCACAGAGTTCCCATTATGGTGAGATACACTGTCTTTCTAATTAAATTTCAATAATTATATCTAAATGTGTATCTATTTGTACAAGTTAAGATATGCTAATTCTATGTAACTCGGTGTCCTT